CTAGACAAAGTTATCTTTTACCATGCCTATTCCCTTGCAGTAGACTCTGGCTTCCCATTCTCCACAAGGGACTTGTGTCTCGCCTCTCTCTTTTTTTTCCTTCTAATTTTCTTTCATTGTAATTTTCATCTCGTTCTGTTTTTTCAATCTTGCTGTTTGTACTCACTATTCTGTCCTCCCCCATAAACGCCGGTTTAAAATATTCCAGTCCCACTGAGATTTTTATTCCAATCTCCTCCCTCACCTTCTTTCATTTCTTGGACTTCTTTTTTTATCCTTTTTTTTTTTTTCCCCCTCTTAAAATAATGTTCAGGGAATTGAGAAACCAAAATGGCTCACGTCACCACTGAGGCATCTCTAAATGGCAAATAAATAAGCCCTTTGAATAGTGACATTCATTCCAAAGAGATGTCAAAACATTATAACGAGCAGCCAGATGAACATGAGCGTGCTCTTCATGGCTACCATGGAGTGGACTGTCCTCCTTCCCCACCACAAGTGAGGGAAGAAAAATTAATTTATACCCTTGAAACTTCATTTGGAGGAAGGAGGAGGAATCAAAACCTTTTTTTTTTTGGGTCCACTTTTTGTCAGGTGATTACCTAAAGGCCAAGCAAAGTTTGCTCCTGGCATTGTAGAAGCACGGCTGTAGTCAGTCCCCAAGCTTGTCACCTCAAGAAAAGGAACACCAAGGAAAATGAACAGCCAAATGAACATGAGCATGCTCTTCATGGCTACCATGGAGTGGACTGTCCTCCTTCCCCACCACAAGTGAGGGAAGAAAAATTAATTTATACCCTTGAAACTTCATTTGGAGGAAGGAGGAGGAATCAAAACCTTTTTTTTTTTTGGGTCCACTTTTTGTCAGGTGATCACCTAAAGGCCAAGCAAAGTTTGCTCCTGGCATTGTAGAAGCACGGCTGTAGTCAGTCCCCAAGCTTGTCACCTCAAGAAAAGGAACACCAAGGAAAAGCACAGATTCAAAGCAAAATGAACACAATAACAAGGCACAAACATGAATTTCTTGAGGCTTTTTTAGCAAAGGGAAGGATATGGGACATGGAAATCAAGGGAGACCAGACAGATAGGACAAGGGAGAAGGGGACAAGTCAACCAAATATGAAACGACAGAGATCTTAAAGACCTACAAAGCAAAGGAACAGAAGAGTGCTGGCACACATGGCCCAGTCAGCACAAAACATGGCAATTCAAGGCAAAACTATAGAGAGATTGTTTCATTTCAAACCTGAACGTGCTCCTACTTTGCCCGGCACATCTGGCCAGCCTTCCCCACAGCCATATGACAGAAGGAAGCAAGACAATCCACAGGTCTCATCTTCCTCCCTTCCATAGCAGGTGGTTCTGAGGGCCCTGGGTAAAATATTGTCTCATCCTGGGTCTAGTTTTGGCTTTTTCTGTCAGGGATCTGCTTCTACAGCTCATCTTCTGACTGAACTCTGAGAAATACTCTGCCTGGAAAAGACTTGGCCATAAGTGATAAGAACAAAATTTCCTTAATGCTCTTCTATCCCCTTTCCAGTCTTCATCTTTGTGCAATTCTGAGGCCAGTTATGGCTGCACAGTCTAGTTCCACCACTCAAGTCTCAGCGTTGGTCTGATTTTGCCAAACATCCCCTCCTCAACCTACTGTAACCGGTTCATAGCCATGGTTTGGAAGCACATACGCAGCCTTCAAACAAGGTCAAACTGGTTCTCACTGGTTTCCTGCACAGAAATTCTCTAAGTAGGAGCCAGCTGAGTGATGATAGTGGAATGACTGCACCAGGATTTCAAAGCTAGTAACACAATTCATAGACTCATAGAATCATTCAGGTGGGAAAAGACCCTTGGGATCATCGAGTCCAACCATCAACCCTACTCTACAAAGTCCTCCCCTACCCCATATCCCTCAGTACCGCATCTACATGTCCCTTAAACACAGCCAGGGATGGTGACTCAACCCCCTCCCTGGGCAGCCTATTCCAATGCCCAACCACTCTTTCTGTGAAAAATTCCTTCCTAATGTTCAGTCTAAAACTGAATTAATTATGTCTCCTAAAATTGAACTGTAGATCTCCTTCAGTGAAGGTATCCACACAAGGCATAATGAACACTGATGGAATTTAAAAACATTTGAGGAATTATAACAATTTTTTACCATTTCGCCCACCAAGTTACTCTATTTGAACCAGAAATATTGATGGCTATTTCTTCTACAATTTGGAAGTTTGTTAGTTCATTGGCTACAGGGGAAAAGAAATGCCTCCCTGCAGTCTGCCAGAGCCATAAATTACATATGCATGAAGCATGAAGTGTTGCTTCACGTTTGTTTGTGTCAGTGTACCTCCATCTTGACTCCACCACTCTTCTACAATTCCAAACTTTGCTTCTTTTAGCAGAAGCTGCTAAAAATTAGGAGAGGCTGAGTAGCGGCTGAACGAAAGATTTTTTAAGTATTTTAACTCACAGCTGGTGACTTTTCCTAGGACTTCACCAGGGCTATAAATAAACATACCTAATGCAAGGCTCTTCGAAAAGTCTGAAATGCATAAAAATTCAAAGCAACGATATAAAAGGCACATTAGAGTGACAATAAGCCTCCTCGCCATTAGAAGTAGGTCCTCAGTCTGCCCCGAGTGAGGAAGGGTCACTTGTAAAGGCAACATATTCAATTTGACTCTAAAATTTCTGTAATGCCTTAACGCACAAACTCCATCGCCTTTACTATAAATACAGGGAGGTCACACTTGGGGCTTCCTTCCATCTTGGAAGCAGCTCTAGCGTGGGAGAGGTTGCTGCAGGCAGACCACTGATGGCAAGTTCACTGTTAGAAGTGACAGTGAAACGACAGAAATCCCTTTAAAAAAAAAAAATATTACAGCTTTCTAGTTCTAAAGAAGGCATAAAAACAAGGAATTACAGAAAATGATGCAGTATCGTTTTGATGTACTTTCCATTCCCTGCTTCTCTACATTTTCAAAGGAGCAGGAAAGGCCACTACAAATAATGTTTCAAGCGTGACATTGATGTCCAGATTTTAACGACATGTGGCTGAGCTGGCATAAGAATAAGATGGTGCTAATCTGTGATTTGAATAAGCATAACTCAACCTCCATATGTTATTAAATCACCCTTGGTTCTGCTCACTCTCTCTTCACTTTCTTAAATTTGTGTGGTCACTGCAATAGCTTCAAGATCATGAGCTTACTGCATGGTTTACCTTCACAGAATCACAGAGTCTTCATGGTTGGAAAGGACCTTTGAGATCATCGAGTCCAACCACAAAAAAAACCCAAACAAAAAACAAACAAACAAAATCACAAAGAGATACAAACCAAGAATGTTGGGCACTAGAGCATGCCCTGAAGAGCCATGTCTACATGTTTCTTAAATCCCTCCAGGGATGGTGACTCCACCACCTCCCTGGGCAGGCCCTTCCAGTGCCTGACCACCCTCTCAGGAAAGTCATTCTTCCCAAGATCTCCTCTAACCCTCCCCTGCCCCAACTTCAGACCATTTCCTCTGCTCCTCTCATGATTCCCTTGGGAGAAGAGGCCAACCCCCACCTCTCTACACCCTCCTTTCAGGGAGCTGGAGAGGGCAAGGAGGTCTCCCCTCAGCCTCCTCTTCTCCAAACTCAACATGATGACCAGTTCCCTCAGCCTCTCCTCGTAGAACTTGTTCTCCAGACCCCTCCCCAGCTTGGTGGCTCTCTTCTGGACACGCTCAATGTCCTTCTTGTGGTGAGGAGCCCAGAACTGAACACAGCACTCATTTAGAAGGTCCATAATGAATAGCATGGCTTATAACTCTCGGAATATTTACCACTTAGAACTCGAGCCACATCTGCAGCACAGTATTTTTCCAACAGAACAATACCATGTCTGCTCAATGTGTGTGTGTGTGAGGGCAGCATTACACCCAAAGTCAACCACACCAACAAAACCCACCATGTGGACACAGCTATGCCAAGAGACGTCCACTTTGCCCAGCCTGGATCACTCAGGGCGGTAGCGCAATTACATTGTCAGAAAAACTTGAGACAGATATTATTTAGAGTAGATAAGACTTAACTTAGACAGCCAATTTCAACACTGTTAACCTTTAAAAGAAGTAGCTATTTCAATGCTGGGAGTACTTAAGAAAGAAGAGAGGAAAAAAAAAAAAATCACATCCTGAAATTTTTCTAAAACACTTTTTTTTTTTGACAATAAGAGCGACGGAGATGCTGCCCTTCCTCCCAGTACAAGCAAAGTACCTCAAAAATCCAGTTCCAGAAATCAGTTTAGACACAAAGGATTCCCAAAGGAGTACCCAAACAAAGAGACCAGACTTTTTTTTTTTTTAAAAAACACAAATTTCAGATCCCAGATTACATGCAGTGATATTCTGGACAGTACCTTGTATGTGGAAGGTACACCTTAGTAACTGGCAGCTGCCACAGCAGCAGCAGCAACTTCTATTTTCAGCATCACCTCAAATGCAAAGGCTTAAAATAACACACATCCAGCTGAAAACAAAGGAAATGTTAATACCTGACACTCTCATAATGCTTTTTACCCATAAAATTCAGAGTTTAGAAAAATTTTCTTTTAACTCTGTAAACTCTGAGAAAAATTAAGACATAGAACAATTAATTCAGATGCTGGTTAAAGTACTTAATGGAAGACCTAAAAAACTGAGCCTGGGCTTTCTCTTTCCCAGTCCTGTATCACTTTTGCTCAGGAAAAAAATAACATGGAAATATCATCAAGAAAATCTATTTGACCACCATCCACACAGAAGCACCACCATTGCCAGGAAATATCTATTCTGAAATACCAGTTTACCTGCAAACAGGAATATTTATCGAGTATAAACAGCCAAAAGCATACAGTGTATAGAGGATATTCTTCATAATTAAGCTACTTTTAATATCATACTGAACTCCACTCTACCCATTAAGCCTTGTAGATCGTTTTAGACAACACTCAGCAAGGCAGAGATGTAGCAGAACTTACCTTCTCGTGATTTTCTATCAGGATTTCAACGACGATGTTCTGAAACTTCAGGTCCATGATGGCTGCTACAGTTTCTTCCTGTGGCCTCATTAAGGTTGGTCCAAATACTACCCCTAGGTTTGCCACAGTCATTAGATTCCTCTTGGCGTGCTTTGAAACGCTTTTTGAAAAGAATTGAAAGAAAAAACAGGAAATAGGTTATGAAAAATTTCCATTACTGTTGGAAACTGCAGTCTACAAACGAAAACATTACATTTCCTTAATCTATGTTTTAGAAGTTTGTTTTGTGCAAAGTTTCTTCAAATAAAGTCTTGCCGAATTCTGGAAAACAGAAAAGCCATTCTTCCACTGGCAATTTAAAAACAAAAGCAGTCTCTTACTGAACTTAAATATATAAAATGCACTTAGCCTTGGACCAGGGCAAGTGTGAAACCAACTTAAATTTGCTAACAGATCTCCACTATTCACTTTGCCAGAACTTGCAAAAAGAAAGTATAATGTTCCCTTTCTCACTTCAATCAAATCCTCGACCGCTGGCAGGACTGCTAAAGTAAATACTTCTATGGCTTCATTAATGGATTAGATTTCTGCCTTTCCCTCCAAAATACACACAGCACGAGTCAAACGTCTTCTCAGCTTTTGCACATTTTGGTTCTTGGTATTGTGTATGACAGCATGGACAGCTTCAGCTCCAGCCACACTTAACTTAAGGCCCTCTCTAGTTAAACAAAGGTAAGGACAAGAGTTCTGGCAAGGTAAGAAAGCAGGTCGTTAACACTTACTTCGCTAAATGTTTCACCAAAATTTCCAGCATCTCTTTGTTCTTTTCTGGGAGTTTATGGACCAAGAAGTGAACAGCATTAACTCGAGATTCAGGACTCCCACTTTCTAGGGGGACACAGAAATAAATCATGATCTCAAAAAATAAAAATGAAATAAAATCCACAGAAACACAAAGCTTCTCCCAGCCCCTGCACAGAAACATACTTTCCTCCACCACTTGTGTACCTCCCAAACATAGCAATATCGAACATATGCGCCTTGTTTTCACAAGAAATCTTGTTCTAGAATTATCAACTTATTTGCTTATTTTGTAAACTCGTCTTTCCATCCACCTGCAAAAGGATGCCTTTGTTCTTCTATTTTTAAAACCCGACAGATGTAGTTATTGTTTTGCTGCATTGGACTCGTCTGCTTATGAATATACTGCAAGGTGAGGAGCGACGTTACTGGGGGCCACGGAGTGGAACTGCACTGCTTTATATTTTAGCATCATTAACTGATTGTCCTCCTCATTAGAATTCAGTTTTGTTGGTACTATGCAGCTAATGATACTGCATTTACACTGCCTCACATTGGAAACTGCATCAGACAACGTGTGTGGAAGATACATACGCTCAGAAAATCTAATGACCTTGGACAACACAGAAAAATAATTATGCAAAAAAACCTACCAAGTGAAATTACTACAATAAAGACCCCTGAATAACAACAGCATCCCTCTCTAGTGCAGTATTGATATAAAGCAAAAATAAACAAGGGGCTTTTTATTTTTTTTTGTGTTGAATTGAATCATTTTGGCCCCTATAGGTTTCACTAGGACACAGATGAAAACAAGAATCTTGGCGCCTATAGGTTTCACTAGGACACAGATGAAAACAAGAATCTGGAAAAGATTAAAATAATTCCTCTTCCTATTTCTCAAAGTTGTATTGAATGGCAAAATTACATCTCAGTCATGGTTACAACGAGTGGAGTGGAAGCATTTCTCTTGTATATAATAATACTTAGTACAAGGTATATAAAATTTAGAACCTACTCTGAACGCAAGGAGTTTTAACACCGGGACAACGCATCAGGTCCTATTTTACTTTAAGGCAACTGTGTCTGTTAAAAGTATTTCATATAAAATACCACCATATTTCTTCAGTGCATACTGCTACAGATTTTTTTTTTTCCTCTTTGCATATCGCTACAGATTTCAGGGTTGTTTTTTTATTCTTTTGCAGTGAACACCCCTGCACAGATTGCAAGAAGAAAGGCTAACAAAATGCAAAAAACGTTTAGCTTCTAGTCAGCTAATCAAAATTCAGAGAGCCAGAAAAACATAAGCCTTCCTTAAAGCAAGACTATTTTCTATACATGCGAAATCACAAACTCTAATTAAAGACTAGCTTATATAGTTTCAGTCTACACTGATATGTATAAAGAAAAGGAAACTGAAAGCAGAACCTTTTCATTTTGGCCTTTTCCTCCCTGCCCCCCCGCAATAGTTGCAGAGGAAAGGATATTCCTTACTATTCCTGGTGTTGTTGGTTTTTTTATAGCCAACAGAGGAAACAACACTGACTCCCTATTTTTAAGCGTACTGTAACTCAGATCTGCAACATTGATTAGATTTCCCTCCCCACTCCATAAAAATCAAATCCCTCTACAAAATTGTTTACGGCTTACAAACACTGTACTACTTAAAACAGGTAACTCCAACTGCATCCCTTTATTAGAAGGGACTATAAAAAATAGAGAAGAGGAAAATAAAGTGAGAAGCTTCTGGCAAAACTTCATAGGTCAAGAAATTATTTTAACACTTTCCAATCCAAACGGGCAGACACACCATCTAGGTCAGTATGTTGAATTTTGTTGAAGCACTTGGCCTCTAGGATGTGCTTTGGCAATTAATTTCATCGGCTAATTTTCGTTTTGAATTAAGGACCACAAGTGAACGCAATCTGCAGTCCTGGAAAGTCCTAACAGCAATCCCAAGAAGATAAAGCAATCGTCTCAAAGTTTATTTTAATTTTGCTTTCCACAGTTTGCCAGAAGTGCTACAGGCTGGAAAGAAAAAAATCAGCTAAATATCTGTTTGATACTTTGCCAAAAATTCTCTTACACAGTTTCCCTCTACCCTCTTCCAAAAAAAAAAATTCCATGTACATTAGATAACATACAGCTGAACTACAAATGCTGTTGTGTCTTCTCCAAGCCTGTATTTGAACTGCTGTAGCGTGAAATCTGGCCTGCTCTTTCCTTTTTTCTTCTAATATATGAGGAACATTGAAGCCAGCCTGGATGCGGAGCTAAGGGCGCTGAAAACAAGGGGCAGGCAGCTGTGCCCCAATCAAATGAGCCCAAATTAGTGTGTTTGCTTTGACTAAGCTTCATAGCCTTTATAAATGGAAAAAAATAAAAATAAAAATCGAAGTAGATATTTATCATTATGTAATGAAGACAATAGGAATTAAAGTTCACTGTGTCTATCCAAAAGTTTTTTGCTAAAGCAAAAACTGCACTTTGTTAAGTCTGTCACAAGCTTATCTGTCAATAGATACGTCATATGTAACACAGACTAGAACTGAACACATAAAGTAAAAATTGCACTTTAAGTCTGTCACAGGCTTATCTGTCAATAGATATGTCATATGTAACACAGACTAGAACTGAACACTGGTTAAAACCTACACATTTTTATGATTCCTTATTTCTATTTATTATTTCTTATTCCTATGTTTTTACTAGGTTGAAGAACTTTTCTGAAATTGCATTTGCAGCCTGCACCTAAGGCCACCACAGTATCCTAAGAAAAGATTTCTATTGGAACTACAGTCATTATATTTACTGGCAGGAACGATGAATTCTCCATGCAACTCATACGTCATCAGTGGCTCTGGAAGGCTCCTGTAAAACAAAGATGATGTAATAAATTTAGCTATACTCTTTTCTAGCTGTGTTTACTCTAAGCAAGAAACCTTTTCAACATTAGTATAATTCAACAGTAGTATAATCCTCACACTAGAGGCAACCATTGTTACGGTGGCCCTTGAATTCAATGATTTCCAGCACAAACAGACAAGTCAATATTATCAGGAAAATAAAACTAAATACATTTATTGACCTTCCAGGAGCTGAAGTGATGCCTCCAGTCCATCATAAGGCACCTCCTCCAATTACAACAATGAGACCCTTATTCAGATGAAGATGGCATACGTATACTACGTAATTAATTCTCCATTAGGGTTTTTACAATACCAAGAATCACAAGTCAACATCTTACTGGGAAGAAAAAAAAGGTCCTAAAAGAGTAAATTTGCTCAATGGTAGCCATCCCCAAATCGAAATTCTCAAGCATTTCAAATAGAAAAATTTAAATTGAAAGCCTTAGTCATCAATGAAAAATGTACTGAATAATGGAAATCAGAGTTAAGACCTTTTACGTTGACTTTACTGATGCTTATGAAATACTGGAGTAAACACCTTAGTCATCAATGAAAAATTTACTGAATAATAGAAATCAGAGTTAAGACCTTCATTTATTAAGTTGACTTTACTGATGCTTATGAAATACTGGGGTAAACACTCAGATGGCAAATACTGCAGGTAGAAAATATTTCATTTCATCACATGCACTTTCTTTTCTTTTTTTTAATTCTTTCCTACTCTCTGTAAAAAAGACTTTTATCTTGATAATAATTCTGCAGTATTCTTTGATAGCAGTCACACCAATACTTCATTTAATAAAACCAGCAGATTAAAAATGCTGTATTTGTATTATACTACTAGAGACAGACAGAAATTCTATGGTCTATGTTCTTAGGCAATTCACTAAAACATCTTGATCAGGAATTGGCCAAGCCATTTGAACAGAGAACACATTTAAAATTCTTACTTTTAACGAGAGACAGACACAAATTCTACACTCTGTGTTCTTAGGCAATTCACTAAAACATCTTGATCAGGAATTGGCCAAGCCATTTGAACAGAGAACACATTTAAAATTCTTACTTTTAACACTCAAAATATTATTACTATTGCACCTAGAACATCACAGCAAGGGCCAGAAGAGAAAAAGGAAAATGTTAAAAAATTCATAACCTTTTCCCCTTTCATTCTACCACATTAAAACACCAAAAGGCAAAAAACTCTTTTAACAATCTTAGCAGATTTTCAGTAATGACTCTCAGTGAGTTTACTAACAATTCAGGTTTCTGTACCATCAGTGAAAGGCTGATTTACCTAAACACAGAAATGTTTGGGGACTTGTCTCATTTGAAGATGAGTATTAGGGTTGCTAAATTATTTTGCTTCCGCCAAGACAAGTAACAAACACGTTATTTGCACAATGTAGAACCTGTATTCTATTCCAAATATTCAAAATATAGGAAAAGGAAGTAATGTAGCTTAATACACTGCATAGGAGAATTAGAATACAGAATTCATAGTCTAGAAAAGAAATAAATGCAAGAGAGAGGCTTACCGCAGATATTGCTTCATAGCACTAGTAATTGTCTTCACTTCCCAATCTACAGAGTTTTCCAGGTCAACTTCGTTGCAGGTTTTTGCATCTAGAAAATAACCAGAAAGAGAAGGAGGACATGAAAAAAAGGGAATTCTAAATCAGTATGCCCTACACCAAGGGCAATTAAATTTTATCATTATGTATTTGCTAACATGAAAGTAGAATATGTCCTTCTTACTATTAGTTTATACTAAGACTTAATACACAAACCTCTTTATAAATTCTATTTCCATATTTTAAGAAGTATTTACTGATTTTTTTCTTTAATGAAGGATTAAAAAAAAAAATCACTTTCATGTAAAAAGATCTCTATAGCAATTGATATTTTCACACCCTTTAATTAAACAGAAAGATGCACACAAACACAGGAAGATGTATGAAAACAGCTTAGAAAAAAGACTCACTAAGCATACCTTATCTTTTCCTATTTTATATAAAATGCAAGTACACGTTTTTGAATTCTTTCCATACATTTTCTCATAAACTGTTATTTTGGACTGCTGATGAAAATAGCTGAAGTGAAGTATGACCCTCCTTATTGGGTGAAAACCTTCTAAAGTTGCTTCAAATGTAGAAAAAAAGGATTCTTCTCTATCAGTAAGGTTCCTCTACAAGAGGGCCCTTCCCTGATGAGATTTGGCCAAAGGGAAGCTCACGGATCTCCTCCCACCTTCTCCCAGGTGAGCTGGGAGAGTCTTGTACCACAACAGATCAAATTGAACTGCCCCAAGTCTGAAGGACTCACCAGGTGAAAGGTATAGAAGACCATAGAAAGCAACACAGCACCCCAGAATGGTGTGCAATCACAGAATCACAGAATCTTCTAGGTTGGAAGGGACCTTAAAGATCATCTTGTCCAACTGTCAACCTAATTCTGACAAAAATAGACACCCGCACAACAAACAAGAAGCATCACCATCACTAACCCATACCTCCCAGCACTACATCAACCTGGCTTTTGAACACCTCCAGGGATGGGGCCTCAACCACCTCCCTGGGCAGCCCATTCCAATGGCTGATAACTCTTTCAGTGAAAAAATTTTTCCTAATATCCAGCCTGAACCTCCCCTGGGGCAACTTGAGGCCATTTCCTCTTGTCCTGTCGCCTGTGACTTGAGAGAAGAGACCGACCCCCACCTCTCTACACCCTCCTTTCAGGGAGTTGTAGAGAGCAATAAGGTCTCCCCTCAGCCTCCTCTTCTCCAGGCTGAACACCCCCAGCTCCCTCAGCCTCTCCTCATAAGACTTGTGCTCCAGACCCCTCACCAGCTTTGTTGCCCTTAATCCAAAAAAACCAACCCCCTTTGGGCCTCACACCAGGAAGCAATAGCTAATTAACACGAGATGATCAGGTGTATATGGCCAACAAAGGAGCCCAATTTGGTGCCTTCAAATGCTCCATCTTCTGTTATTATTACTGCTACACGTTTCCATCAGTCCCTACAGCGAACTACAGGAGTAGCTGACACAGATTACGTGTTGACCAGTTCATACCATTCAGGATTCATTTGTTACTTTGCTTGTCAGACAAACGACAGACACATTTCAAAAATCAAATTAGGATCCCTGATTAAAGGTGCAGTCCTTTTACGGGGACAAAATAATTCTGTTCTAAAGGCTGTGCCAAGCAATTATTTCTGTAACTGAATATTCTCCCTCGTTATATCAATTATTTAAATCTCATTTTAAAATACAAGTCAGATAACATTTTCTCCCAAATTGTTACGAGCCAACCACCACCAAAAAATACTCAAGATTGTCTCAGGAAAAAGTTTCTTCTTTCCTCTTTTTAGCATGCTAATTTTTCCTGTGTTCAAATTCCCTTTTTTGAGAAGAAAACCTTTCTGCTGAATTAATTAAATAAAAACTGCCATCGCATCAGAAACTCGTGAAATCTAAGGGGATTTTCTTACTAAACCACTGTGTAATATCCAGTTTTTAAATAACTCCTTCCTAATCATCAACCTGTTTTACAGTCAAAGGATGCGCTCAGTTACGTGAAATTTGTTGATGAATTTGAGGGGGGAGGAAAATAACAAGCGTCTGAATCTCAAAGAAAGCCTCTTAAAATAAAAAAAAAAATAGAAGGTATTGCTGAAATATTTCATTATCTTTTTTTGGGGGGGGGAACAAACCCAACAAAATAACCCTGGCTCTTCTACCAACCCCAAACAACCCCCAGTTTGGCTGTAGAAACCATCAAGACTTAATGACTTAATTTTTTCAGTTCTGATTTGACATTACATAGCTCTGCCCACCCCGTATTTGACTGTTCCTGCACCATTTTTCCCCTCTATTTCAAACATCCCGGGCCATTACACGAACTGGAACTTCAACTGGGATTCTCAAAAATGACTCCACTAGTTTTCATGCTGCTTGCTCACGTAGCAGCCGCTGCGCACCGCACGGCGACTTTACGCCTATAAAAATAACTATGCACATTTCTGGAACAGCTTTTGACAGATCAGCTCTAAATTTTATGCAAATCTTTCTGACAATAACAGCGCTAGAGTTGATAAAAACAGTCCAGTTCACTAAACTAGGTTAGGAGGAGACTCTCTCTGCTTTCATATGCAATGTGCCCACAGTGGGATTATACTCATAGTGTCATTTGCTGTATATAAAATAATAAGGAATCCAACGTCATGGTTTGGAAAGCTGCTGGTTTCGAGAAGGCAGAGGTACCTGAAAGTTTTCTTCTACAATATGTGATGTCTGGCATTTTTCACACCAGGCAGCACCAGAAAGCAAAACTGAACGCAGCGGTAGAAGCTTCCAGATCTTCCGCCGCTTTCCCCACGAGGCAGGGTCTGCAGGAAAGCTGACCCATATAGCAGTTTGCTCAAAACCTACGTAGGCAGATTGTTTGAAATAAACCACATCAGATCTATTACGTGGATCACAGATGAGCCAGGAATTGGTCCTTGACACCTTTTGGGACCTGAGCCCCCTGACAGCTGACAACGCGCTCTGCGCTGCTTACAGCACATTCCCCACAACATTGGGCATCCTAATCCTGTATCCCTGTTTACAGGGATATGTACAGGGTACAGGGATTTAGCCCTGATATCAGATTAATTTAACATTTCTGGTTGAAATCTAATGAGCATTTTCCTTACCAAACGCCTCAATTAAATTTAGGCAAGATTAATGCTGCAAAACCGGTCACCGTAGCACAGGGCTAGTCACACGCCACTTCAAGGACTAAGTTAATTGCAAAATTAACTTTTTTTTCTTTTTTTTAAGATCTGTATATTTAATTGCTGACCCTCATTTTACAGAAGACTTACTCTCACTAGATTTTTACATGAAAGATGTCAATCTGTACATTCATAGCATTAGAAAAGCCTATCTTGGTCTTCTCGTACTCTCTTGACTCTCAATGCACCTTTCCCCAATTTTATAGAAAATACTCTGAAAAAGATACAAAACTGCATGCTATTACGTCCCTGGGTACCATTTGGAAGACTTTCTTTTTGCACTCTGGGCCTTTCAGACTGTGAATCTCACGGTCAATGAGAGGTAGCTTAAAATACTTTGAAATCTTATCAAACATTTTTTAAAATACAGAAAGTTAATATGAGGTTTCTATGATTCTGAAAAGATCTTTCATATAAAAGGGTATCTAAGAGTATACCCAGAGACAAAGGATTAAAGATTAATCAGTCATTTTAAATTCTCTGTACCGCTGTATATCAAAAAGAAACCCTCTTTATTCTTCTCTGAGGACAGACAGATGAAGAGCACAGATAGGACCACTTTCAACAAATCATCAGAAAAAGAGCACCTGCTTGCACCCCAACTTTTTTCTGTTCAGTATTTTGCCTCATTCTTCCTACTTCAAATAAATATATGAATCTCGGGAATGACACACAAAAAAAGAAAAAAAAAAAGTTTCTAATTTTAAAAAAGTAACTAAAAGCAGATGCTGGAATCCCCAGTAAACTCTTCCAGCTGCTACCGAACCACTGGCAACTTGAGTCTATTTAATTTGGATACCGCTAATGGCAAAGAGGAAAATTTGCCTGCCAGACCTGCACGCCCAAGCTAAGCCAGTAAGTACAAAACTGGAAAACATCTTATGGTACCAAATGCATTTAATCGAGACTCTCTTGAATGACAACATGTCATTCTTCCTATGATCAACAGCTAAAGATGGTTATTGTTTATTGAGGCTAACTCCAACACAGATAAACAACCATCAGAATCTGCTATAGATCAGTCATTTGTATTAATCTTGGTTCTTATTTCCAGAAAGATTCTTTTGCTACAATACTTTAAAGATACAGGCAGGTTTATGTGCACTAATGGAGAACTTCAGGGTGCTGTTAATATTGATTAAAGTAAGATATAATAAATTAATATTTAGCAAGGTCACTATGACAGATTGATATGACATGCAGGTCCTCAAGCCTGATGTCTTATCATTTCTGAAGAGACAGCCTGTTTGAAAAAAAAAATAAAGGAAGGAAAAGAAAAAGTCTTACAGGTGGCACTGAACTGACAGCAGCATATAATATAAAAGCGCTTTGTCATTCACATAATGTCTGGGGTAATGAAATGAATTCACTTTCTGGCTTCCTCCAGTTTGCAGTGCCAAAGAACACTGTGTTATCAGCACAGATGGAGCATGCATGGTTCTGGAGAAGAGCCTGGTGCAAACTGCAAACAAGCTTCTTTGCATACCAATGAATCCCTGAGAATCAGACCTTTGCTGTCAAGTGACAGGTTTGGAAGCTCTATAAAAATGAACTAATCCCAGCGGTCTTGTCTGACTGCGTGTACTGTCAGCGCTCAGGACAAGAAACCAGGAAACACGACACACATCTTGCAGTCATGGCTACTTCTTTGGTGAGAGGTACCAGGCAGACAAGAGATTTCATTCAGGTGCCAATCCCTCTTTTTTTTTATTTTTCCCTAGGGACAGCAGAATGGCAAGAGAACTACAGTCACCGGGATTAAAGACGCATCGAAATTTTCAGAAAGAAAAAAGGGTGTGTGGGGGGGAAGTTTCAGAGAATAATTTTATGAATCAAAAAAAAATCTTAAAAGCTCCACATGGCTAACTAGGTATAAGAGAGACTAAGACATTACCCACATATAAGAGCTATACTACTAAGTTTATAAAAACAAATCCTTTCGCCATCTGTCTCTCGCCTTGGCACACAGTTATTATTAATACGTATATCATGTTCCTCCTCTTAAACCAAAGAGCTCTTTGCCAGTGGGTTTAAACCAAATGTCTTCTTTTGCACAGTGATTAACTAAAGAGGGGCGTGTACACCTGTACCTCTTAGATATGGGAGAAGAAAGGTGGCAACTTCGAACAACGAAGCAATAAATTTCAAACTTTCTTGATGTTGTATTCTGAATTTTCTGATCAGACCCTTCAACTTCGGCTGCTTTAATCCCACTTACATCAACCTCACCCAAAGCCTGGGATTTGCTCCTACAAGCCCCCACAGCAGTTTAGTCTTAGTTTATTCCTACCAACTAATCTTTGTCTTGCTAAACCAGGGGAATTTACAATGACACGGGGATTATTTACCTGGACTAAAGTAAACTCCATTTGGCCCCTAAAAAGAACAACTACAGGCTGGTACCTTTCAAACTAAATATTGGCAGTAACACGACATGAAACAAAACATTGAAAAAATGATTGTAAAATAGAGGCATACCCATCAACAAACTCAGAAGTCTCTGGACCTTTGAACTCACCCCCACAACTCTGTAAAGTCCTTGGTCATTTATACCTATTACGCAAAAGGAGAGAAAAAAAAAAAAAAATAAGGTCAGAAGATCAACCACAGTCAAATTGAGCATTAAAGCTTTTCCCCGGGCAACAAATTGTCCTCAAAGACATAAACACTACACAGTATTAACACAGCCATGTGAACAACACTCTAAATGAAGTAGTGCAAGAATCCTTTTGTTTTTCTATGTTTTTAAGATAAGTTCACGTTATGTTTTGAAAAATGTTTCATGTACCTCAATTCCACTTCAGAAACTGGGAGTAGAAGCACATAAAGACAAACCTTTGCTTGAAAAAAAAAAAGACAAATTAAAAAATCACTAGCTGTTTTCAGGTATTTCTTTTTAAATCAGCACCCACATTCTAATAACGCAAGAACTGAACCGACGAATGCTAAATTGAGATTTCTTTAAGAAACGCAATTTTGCTTTTTTCCAAATATGCGGCTGACGAAAAGAGTTTGGATAAAATCAAGAAAAACTTGAGCCTATTCCCAGTCCTCAAAACCAATGTTTTTTCAAGTTTGTAAACGCTTTTCATGTAACACACGAGGCCCCAGTCCAAGCCACTGTGGTCCACATCCTGGTTACGTCCAGAGGCACCATCACAGGTTTCTGAAATCCGTGCTTCTGGTTTTCTTTGGGATGAACAGAGTAGCCACCACCAGCATAATATTTTCAGTTCCCTACTCTCATTTCATGTGGAGGCTGGACCACTTTCTTCTCATTCCTCAGTGCCCTTCCATCCTCACGTTCACTTCTCAACCTCTTTTCTTCTCCTGCTTTTGCCTTCCTTCACCGTACCCGGTTTTATCCCCAGGGAAGGAAAACTATGAATTGAAATCGAAGGAAAATTGGAGGGAGAGAAGGAACAGGGAAGGAAAAGGGCAAAATAAGGCATGTCTTCCTCTGGGCTTTGTTTCAGGGCCCTTACAGTGGGAGGTAAAATATTACAGTCCTGAAGCTGATGCAGATGTTTGAGGCCACATAATAAGCAGCCATCTACAAACACCACCATACTCTACCTCTATATTCACGTTGGCCTGGAAGAGGAGAAACACCACAAAATACCTGTGTTTCTACTCCAAGGAAATCTTTGCAATTAACAGATTATGTGATATTCTTATTCAAAATATCCTTCAACAAAGGAAGACTTGTGGAGAATTCCCAGTTTCAACGCCAAGCCGTTCCAAACCAGAGAAGGAGAATTAAAACCAGTCATATGAGAAAAAGTTTCTTCCCAAATAAATATTAGATGAAGTATGTAAAAATCATTAGCCTTTTCATGAATTGCTGTCAGACGCAACCATAAGACACAGCAATAATGCTCAATATGGTGGAGAGAAATTTGCATTTTCTACCTCCTCCTCCTCCTCCTGCCTAGCCTTGCTCCATCCTTTCCTTCTTCTCCCACCCCCTTCCTCTTCCTCACACAGCCTGCAGCCTTCTCAGCCATCCCAGATCTTTGAGAGCCTGCTGAACTCCTCCCTGTTAGAAGAAAGGAGGAAGCTGATGGCCCGTGGCAACCTCTCTCTTGGTTGCTCCACCTGGGCACAACTCTTTTCTTTCCCCCAGGATGCAGGCACCGCTGCAACGATGCTGAGCCTTAAGCTGGATGTTATGATCAGAGCTGGCTCAAATTAAGAGAGTAAGCCAGATCTTCATTATGTCATCAAAACCCACAACTCGCTCAGAGTTTAGCTGCACGCAAACAAAAGAACCACAAAAGTTATGTGGCCACAGGACTATTCTTCCCAAAATATGAAGTTATCAACCCAACCAAGAAAGTTTTCCAATGATCTGCAGAAGAACAGTGTGACGGCATGCCATACACCATTTAAAGGCTGCCAACAGTAATAAAAACCTACTCCTTAATTCACTCCAAACAAGGATGCACAAGGAATCTGCCCTGAGAGCAGCAATTATAATTATTTACTTCCAATTTCTCAGAGGTGGCCATGAAAACTCTGGTACAAAACTAGCATTGAGCTTCTTAATGCTATGGCTAAATGCATCACACTGGTTTTATACAGTGTCCTCCCCTGCTCAGAGTACCACAGAAGGAGCCCTCTGCATCACACGCAGGAAGCTGAAAAACTGAAGAAATACCATCAACAATCAAAGTGTCCTCCCCTGCTTGGAGTACCACAGAAGAAGCCTTCTGCATCACACACAGGAAGCTAAAAAACTGAAGAAATACCATCAACAATCAAATACAGCTCAGTTTTCGCTTGTCTCAGAAGTTGATTTGTGACTTCCTGTGCTTTTAACGTTCAAACTATAGGGGGACCAAACTGGGCTGACCCTAAACATACATTTACAGGCTTAAAAATAATGAAGGTAAAACCACAGAAACTACCGCTCGATATTAAAACAGGAGCGATACGTCAAAGTCTCTGAAGTTACGACAGTATTGAAACCAAGGCAATAATCACGAGTCTGTGACAGCAATTTCCAGATAATTGATCAGTTTCAAACTCATCAGCCTAAAAAAAGCACAGCTAATTGCTAGTAGACATCAAGAAGCGCAAAGAGAAATTCATATTTCACCGCGGTTTTGAATGATACCTTCAAACAACACCTTTAAGCGAGGTTTTATTTCGAGTACACAAACATGGCTCGAAATAGTACCATTTCTGATTTCATCTGTGCATTTCGGATCTTCAGCAGATCCAAGACTGATAACATTTGGCATTTACAGCACACAATTGACGAGATGACTCAGTGCAAGGAATAGCTTACCCCCCGAAAACGTTGAAGGGTTCAGACGCTGTGTCTACCAGTCACTATGGGCAACTTTGAGCAGCAAAGCCCTGCAGCATCATTTCCTTCAGATTTACATTTTCTTGAGATGTTTGGCCGTCTGATAGTGGAATTGGGCACAGGTACACAATTTGGGAAACACATTTTGCAAAATAAGGTATTGGAATTAAAGCAGTGATTTATACTATTGTATTCAAGGTATGTGGGCAAGTTTAGTTTGTGGCTGCCACGGTGCATGGGCTTCACACAGGCTAGTAATATAGCTGAAAATACAACTTTTGATATCAAACTGCATAAAACAGATAATATAGCTGAAAATCCAACTTTTGATATCAAACTGCATAAAACAGAAACAGCCATACAAGCAACACTCTAAATTCGAGGTAAAGCCAGATTATTTTTTTTTTTTTTGTTACGTGAAAAGGTTTTCTACTTTTCCTCACCATCTTCTTTCTGTCTCGGGAGCAGGCAGACTGGACAGACAGCTCGATGCTGCCATCTCTCTCTGCAGCTCAGATCAGCAGCTCCAGGAGTTTTAAAATCAAGACAAAACACTGCTCTGGCAAACACACACCGACCACATCCTCCCACAAGGTACAACCAACCACTTGCACACAAAAAACACACGCACCGAGTCTTCACTACTGGAGCAAACAGCTCTGACTTCCCCATAAACTTTTCCCCCTTTGCATTATTCTTAGCACAGAATTCTAAATAAAATACTTCTAACAGAATCCCAAAATGTTCTCCTCAGACACAAAACACGGGGGGACACCCAACCAGCATGGTGCTTGGTACGTGAGAGACAGGCTACGTATCTCAATGGCTCAGTGTGTCCTACCAGGTGAAGCACAGACCATGCTGAACCAGAAGCCAACATGCATTTTAATCGAGACACCGCCTTGGATTCTATTCATTCAGAGCAAATAATTTCCTTTTTGGCTTTATAAAAAAGGGAACGTAACTGAGAAAAAAAATTATCCAGCCATTGACAAGTTTATGTTCAATATCTCTGTTATGCTCTTCTCTCTCCGAATACCAGACTTTTTCTGCTATGACATGACAAGACTATTCTCAGTTTCCACCCACACTAGACTGTCCTCTCTTTCCACCCACGCCAACCTCACACCCATTATGATTAAAAGAGATAAAAACATGGCACACAAGCACAGTCTCTGAAGAGGCATCTGTCCTGTTTTCTTCTGCCGAGCACAACTTGCCTTTGATGCGTTAGCATTAAAGTGAAATAATCAAGGAAAAATTGTTTTATGCACAAGTATATGTCTAAAATCCGCAGCCTGAAAGATGGATTTTCTTCCTCAAACAACTATTTGGCCCAACCCCTCCTGAAGCAAACAACCAAATGCTCTCCTGGCCCTCTGTTTCTTTAGCTCAGCAGACATCAGCAGAAGGTCCTGCAGCTTCTGCAGAAAACAGAAACCGATGCTTTAGAAATGCTTCGGTCTGTCTCACGGATGAAGTCAGGATTTTGTTTGTTAAGCTTTTTTTATCTTTTTTTTTTTTTTTTAAATGCAGTTGATGTTAAGTTCAGAATGGGTAAGCAGAAAATCATCAACAACTGCTTGACAGGCAATGGATGAATCGAGTTCATGGAAACAGAGGTAGGTGGATTGCTGAGTTCCTGGAAGGTGGCACCTCACCTAAACCCATCCCTGAAACCCTGGGAAAATACATATTTATTGAATACTAGTTTGTTTGGTTTTTTTTCCCTTAAGTACTTCCCAAAGCAAAATTAATAGATAAAAGTCATTTTCCTTGGTAGGAATTACCACAAAGCACTTTACTGACTGCAGGTCTTACAAAGGCTGTGTACAAGGGACAGCGAAGCTGCAAGATCTCCAAAAACAGGGCACAGTGCAGCTAAATTTGGTAACTTCAATTCTCTACCAAGTATGTTTCAGGGCAGATCCCACTATAGGGACACCCACTTCTACCCCATGCAAGCTGACCGACTGTCTCAAATAATGATATTAGCTGGGGTTGCACATATATTTTGCACCTTCTTACACGCCCCTAAATCAAGGCATGAAGGACAGAGTGGAGTTGAACCACCTCTCAGTTTATCCTATCCACTCATGGTTGGTTGTCCATGAGAAGAAACCCCCTATCTAACCCATTTTTCCAAATTGCTACTTCACGAAGAAAGTGATCACATTTTTTCCACAGTTATAGTATCAAAGGAAAAAAAAAAAAAACTACTTGAAGAAAACTATTTGAACACACCTATAGATAATAAACCAAAATATAGTGGACTCCACACTGCTTACAGTAAGCATGATCGATAAGGTACTGTAAGGTAGAATCATAGAATCATCTAGGTTGGAAGGGACCTTTAAGATCATCGAGTCCAACCATTAACATCACACTGCCAAAGCCACCACTGAATCATGTCCCTGGGCACCACATCTACCTGTCTTTTAAATACCTCCAGGGATGGCGATTCAACAACCTCCCTGGACAGCCTGTTCCAATGCTTGACAACCCCTTTTGGTGAAGACATTTTTCCTAATATCCAACCTGAACTTCCCCTGGAGCAACTTGAGGCTGTTTCCTCTTGTCCCATCACCTGCGACTTGGGAGAAGACACCAATCTCTGCTTCTCTACACCCTCCTTTCAGGGAGTTGGAGAGAGCAAGAAGGTCTCCCCTCAGCCTCCTCTTCTCCAGGCTGAACACCCCCAGCTCCCTCAGCCTCTTCTCACAAGACTTGTGTTCCAGACCCCTCACCAGCTCCATTGCCCTTCTCTGGACCTGCTCCAGCCCCTCAAGGTCTTTTTTGTGGTGAGAGGCCCAAAACTGGACCCAGCCCTCGAGGTGGGACCTCACCAGTGCCCAGTACAGGGGGACGATCACCTCCCAAGTCCTACTCCCCACACTGCTCCTGACACAAGCCAGGATGCTGGTGGCCTTCTTGGCCACCTGGGCAAACTGCTGGCTCCTGTTCAGCCGGCTGTCCACCAACACCCCCAGGGCCTTTTCTGCCAGGCAGCTCCAGCCACTCTGCCCCCAGCCTGGAGCGCTGCAGGGGGTTGGTGGGACCCAAGGGCAGGACCCGGCACTTGGCCTTGTTGAACTTCATCCCATTGGCCTTGACCCATTGATCCAGCCTGTCCAGATCCCTCTGTAGAGGCTTCCTACCATCAAGCAGGTTGACATTTCTGCCCAACTTGGTGTTGTCTGCAAACTCACTGAGGTGTGCACTCAATCCCCTTGTCCAGGTCGTTGATAACGATATTAAACAGAACTGACCTCAATACTGAGATACTGAGCCCTGGGGAACACCACTCTTGACCACCCGCCAACTGGATTTCACTCCATTCACCACAACTCTTTGTGCCCAGGCCTCCAGCCAGTTTTTTACCCAAAGAGTACACCCACCAAAGGCCACGAGCAGCCAGTTTCTCCAAGAGAATGCTGTGTCAAAGGCTTTACTAAGGACCAGGTCCTAGGTAATTAGTTACCGTGCTATAGACCAAAACCAGCCTTTCGTTACATCATCACACATTGCCCTTTTCATAAAATCTGCCTCATCCTCTGCAAAGAGAAGACCCAGACTATATCCAAGCAGGGTTTTGCAGTGAAGGCATCTTATCTGTAGGACGCCAGCTTTATCTGCAGTGTTTCCCAGCTGAAATACTCAGATTGTTAAATGCCAGTAACTGAAATTTCAAAGTGATGAGACAGGCAAAACTCATTTGAAAAATACCCAAAAGAACAGAATGAACAAAAATAACACCAGATAGAATATGATCTAATCTGGAATAACATATTTAATGCATCAGACAGGACTGATACAAAAAAAAAAAAGTCCAAGAGAAAAAGGATTTCAGATACTTCTTACTGTTTAAATGCTAAACTCTTAGTATCACAAATGCTGCTCAATCTTACTAATGATATCGTACACAAAGTGCATATATGGAAGTTATAGGAATTGCCTAAAAGACACAGGTTTTTTTTTTTCCTCAGCTGCAGCACATAATCATTGGCCTCCTTTGTCACAAAAGGGGCCATTACCCTCTTCTGAACACTTCTTGAAAACACATTTCTTGAGGGAAAGCCATAACTAAAAGGCTGGGACTGGGAAGCTCCTGCTCTGTTCAATGTTTTCTGTACAACATCGACCAGGTTAAGTCTTTCCCTGTTCAATGTTTTCAGTACAATTATCTACCAGGTTAAGTCTTTCCCAGGGATCTACAAGAGACTAGATCAACTCAGGCCTTCTTTGGAGAGCAGACCAGCTGCTCCACCACCTCCACTTACAGGTTGGGTTGATCCTTACCTCGTGTTTCGACAGCACTGATGCACTTTTTGATGACAGTGAACCCTATCTTATCCAACTGTGCACCTAGAAGGAAAAAAAAAAGAAAAAAAAACAGTTTTAAAAGTTTTAAAGCACCGTTGCAATTATGTCTTTCTCTGAAAGGTAAGGCTGGACTTAATCACACAGCTAGTACTCCTCAGGGAAAACTAAATACTCTGGAAAAGGAATGTTTTACCACTTTTTCTAGAGAAATTCCCCTTTTTTCCTTCACAACCCCACCCAGCCGAAGTAAAGGCTCACTCTGGGGGTAGTGGCTTCACTGAATCTGTTCACAGCAGCAGCCTTTGAAGAATGGGATCTCTGATTAGGTGCATATGTTGGCAGATGCAAAATGGAGCTTAACAATACTAACTGCAGCATCGACAACATCTGAGAGAGTTAACCAAATGGGACAAGGAAGCACTTATGATGAAAACCATAATCATAAACAGCAGGGCTTTGACTGAGTCCTACCCTAAGCCAAAGAAATTCCCACACTAAAGATACAGGACACATGTATCTCATTTCACAGCAGTTAATGATCTGACTGTATAAAAGCAGATGCATTAACAGGACAACAGCTGAGACCCAGCGTTCCTTTGTTGTTCTTATCTTACTCTTTTTCTTCACAACAAAACTTCATTTAAAAGCTTATATTGCAAAAACTGCCCTTCCCCCAAACATCTGGCCTTCTTGCTCCCGGGGACCTGATCTTGCACCAAGAAAATAAAAATGTGGAAAAGCTTCTATTAATAACACCAAGATCCAGCTTTAACCCAAGAAAAGGCAAGCACAAATTGCCTGATAATCCAAGAAGGATAACTGTTTTCGCTCATATACTTTGCTAACAGAAGAAAGCTAATGTTGTTTAAAGAAAGATATCTCTTCTACTTCCACATTACTGTTTACATTTTAAATACATGCATTCAAGGTTTTTTGCTGACCTATATGTTCAGCTGTGATTGCTTTTAAAACGATACTTATGCATTCCAACAGATGTGTACACACAATCTGGATTAAGAAATTATTGTGCATTTACATCCAAATTAACCTTTTTTGGAGTCAATTCAAGAACGAAGTAAATTGGCAAAAACAGACTATTTCTCTAGCTTATGTCCAGTCCTACTATTCTTACATGTGTACTAAACTGCATTACTACAAAACCCCATTAATTACAAGATCCACAAAACTATATTTGTGGAACTCAAGAATAAAAATAAAATATTTAATTATGTGGGATCCATAGGAGAAAAATTACCTTTGCCTTTCTCAATTGTAAAATGTTAACAAAAATCAGCTTTAGTAGCAATTCAAATACTTACTTCCCTCTCGTTTTGCATCTGCTCTATTCAAATTGATGAACAGCTAACACAAAAAGAGTAAAAAGACATAAATTATTTTAAAGAATTTTATGAAACCACAACCAAGACACCCCTGATCTTAATGCCCAGTAGGCACAAATATAGCTGTTTACAGCTAGAACATATCACCTTAACTACAACAGCTCTAACAGCAGGATGAGAGCTCCATGCCCCCTCAGAAAGCAGATAATTGCACTTTATAAGAGTGAAATTTTTAAAAAAATTCTCAGCAAATGCAGTTCCTCGGGGAGCAGAACAATGTTACTTATAGCCACTGAAATTAACTGTGATTTACGTGCTCCATGTTCCTCTGTTTCTCTGCAGGTTAGTTTCCCCACAGTTCAAGTTCACTTAAACCACTGAGAACTGCTTTGATGAATCTTGGGAATTATGTCCCTGCTCTGCATTCCCAGAAGTTGTAAGTTTATTGGAAAAGTCCAGCTCAGACAATCTGTGAGGGTAATCAACACCTCTGCAGATGAAAAAAAGATTTTTACAACAATGACATCACTCAAACCTACTGCTAAAATCCCCAGCAGCCAACTACTGGGGACAGACACGACTGTGTCATTGACAAGAAAACCCCACTATTTTTGGCCCATAAAACCAAGACCAACATAATATTTGTGATTGTAAGAATAATCTGCAGTGTGTTTCAATTCCACTGTTCACACCCATTTCCTGATGGGAACCAGAAATTAAGTAAATTGGAGTACAACCTTGTTGCCATTGACGTGGATTTGTTTTATCTAGTTTTAAAATAATAATATCACATAATAATAATCTAACTCACACAAGTCTTCCCACTGGAATGCAGCATGTCAGCATGAGGCTAAGTGGACAAGCTTATACTAGACATTTTCTAGAATACCAATAATATCATTGTGATGGGAAACCACTTATAAAAATCGATTGCTGTCTTACAAGGAAAAATACCTCAAATCAGCATTGACAGTTATCTACGCTGAGCTTCAGCAATTCACTCTCCTGAGTTTTATATCACTTTTATTCTTTCTTGACTAAATATATCGTTTTGCAGACTACAGGATCCCAGTTTATTTAAGTATAAATGGGATCAGGAAGCAGGGGGCAATGAGCATTTAAAGAAAACAGAAAAAAGTCACTCACAGCTTCTTTTCCATCCAAGGCTTCCATCCACAGCTTCCTGTCCTCCTCAGAAAATGCCTGCATGGTCACAGGAACCCCAGGCCTGCAAAAGTACCAACCACAGAGAGTAAATGAATTCACCAGCAACTTAAAAACCACCTTGTCCAATTCTACTTCCAACTACAAGCAAAAGCTCATTGCCCTAAAAGCCAGGGTTGGTGTTTTGGTTTGTTGTTTTTTTTTTCTTAATTACTGAACACTGCTCATCTTTAAAATGAAAGGTGTCTAACTGATGCACACAGTAGGAAATGGGAAGATAGGGAGGAAAAAGGGAAGTGAAAGTAACCTGCAAACTATTTATTTGAAATTCATTGTGGATAGCTTGCTCCTTCCAAAACTTGCTGGGAGTTACTGAGTTTTGTGAATTCTAAATAAACTTACTCTTGCATTGCGGTGCTGCTACATAAAAAATGTCTTTTGTCAACTTATTTGATGTATAGTCTTCAGCGTAAGAGCAGCGACCACAGTTTTCCAGTAAATATTTTATCAAAAATAATCATGTCTGAATACAGTATCTCATTACAAAACTCCACTATTGTAACTTTCCTAAAAGGCAAGGATGGACAACTGTGGGACGTAGGGATTAGTGATCAGAGATTAACATAAATCTGCTTTTGTGTTTATATAAGAAGAAACTAAAAAGACTAATCATGTGGTTCAGCACAGTGTACAAATCAAAGAGAGTTAAAAGCAGAACAGGTTATTTGGGTAATTATTTTTCTTCCAATTAGAAAAAAGAAAAATCATTCTATTCAGCCTGCCAATACTTTTGGCAAATTTGTAAATCTGATTATATAGAGATGGATAGAAACAGAGAATTAATTCATAACGTTCTCTCCCTCTCTCTGTCTTTTCTATTAAATCTATCTTCAAGGAGCAAAATAGCTGTAGGGGAGAATGTTATCTGAAAACAACAGCACAGAGAAAAACAGCACAAATCCCACTTCTACCTGAAACTGTAACAGTCCATATTTTTAAAAGTAGAGACATTTCTAGCTCCTTTTCCCTTTGTCATAAATTTTATCAAACCATAAAATTTAAATCACAGCGTAGAAGTCGATAGGTACAAATACCTTCTGCTCAAAACCTCTTTTCAAACAACATGTGAGGACAAGGCAGGCAGACAGCCTCTAGCAACCCAACCCAAACTCAGGAGACTCAACTCCAAGTTTGGAAAAGGGCAGCAATCAAGCAAGTCATTCTCTTTTGATTAGTTAAAGAAAGGAAAATTAGTTAAATTAAGCCATAAACAGAGAATCTTTTACTATTCTCACCAATAGATACTGAGCTCTTACGGTGGATGAGGGAAACCTCGCCTCCATTTCTGCAACTAATAACTTTTATGACTAAAATAAGTTAATGCTGGTATCAGTAATAAAAGTAAGCAAGAGGTTCTCAAGCCATACCAGCTTTTTTCGACACAAACTGGTCTGCTAGTAACACAGAGCTACAGCCATCAGAAACATGCAAAATTAATCACTTGGTAGAAAAAAAAATACCCAAAATAATTAGCTAAATTAACCAAAAAAAAACACCCCACACAATGGTTTGGTTTTTTCTTGTCTACCTTTTTTTTTACTAGTTAAAACTAAAACTACACAAGTTACTTTTATGCAGGTCAAACTTTCCTTCTTTTCACTAGAATTATAATTGTCAAGTCATCAAAGAGTATCACCTAGAGGCAATAGGCCAAACTCAGTATATGTTGCAGGAAATATTATTTATTTGTCTTCCAATTAAAGTCAAAAGAGACAAAGCCTTCCCTCCTCCTTCTCCTATATTGGTAAAATTAAAATATAAGCAGTATTTCAGAAGGACGATGCTCCTTATTAATAAAAAGTCTTTTTCCTACCCAAAAAGACCTCTGCTCTCTCTTTAAGATTTAAATTTCTCTACATTTACCACTAGTCACCTCCACTAAACATGATGGAATACCAGAAACAGCAAACCATCACTTTCCTGGAGATTTAGCCAGGATCCTAGCACCCTCAGAGCTTACAGTCATAAGAATTTAAAGACAAAAAGAATCATCACGGCTTTCTTTTTAAAAGAAAAATCTGTAAATATTCAGCCAGCTCCAAACTATGCTCCAGCCACACACAAGGCTCAGTGTTTGCTACTGAAAAGTCCTCCATAATATTTTTGAATCTTGCCTTCTTCCACAGCACAGGAGCAAAGAAAAGCCCATGGCCAGCTGTCAATCTGGATGTTATTTTTTAACTTGGACAAGCCGAGGGATAAGTGTGCCCTGAACTGATACCAAGGAAACAAGCTAATGGCCTGCAGCACAGAACTAATCTCCATGGGAACATCTCAGCACTACACACATATATTATTAAGAGAAAAATGTCTGATATCAAGGTCACAGTGGACCGGTTGTGTCTATTATATCCAGACAGCAAGATGGATTAGACTTTTTCCCACTTTTCCCAGAAAAGAGAATGAAAAATTGTTTTGCAGGATGAAGGAAACACTGCTCTCCATCCATCTCTGTTTAACTCCAGATACCCTGTTGAGCAGGGATGACACACAGGGGTGGGAGGACTGACATTTCTCACAGTAGTACTTTCTTCAGTGACTTTATTGAAACCTGTTATTCATCCTGACCAAAACACCGACCCAAGAGGAGCTGATGTCAACACCTTCAATCTCTACTTCCTCTCCTACTGTTGGGACACAGCGTTAGAAGAGTTAAGACACACACACACACCCCTCCAAGTCAAAAATGCAAGTTCAAACCCCACTGTAGACTTGTGACAACTGCCACCTGAGCTGTAAATGGGTGTCCCTACCACCTGCCACGTGAGCTTTGAGTACTTAGATGCAGTGGTAGTTTTACATTCCTTTACCCTCTGCTTGTATTTATTTCCCCACTTGCTCTATTTATTTGCAGTACCTTATTAAGTCAGATTCCCTCACCTCCATAACCGAAGGAAGCCTACAGTGCTGACAAAAAGCAAGATTTGTCATCTTTTTAAGAGCCTTTTAGCAGAATATATAAGCAATCCTTCTCTTTTGAAGTAAAGCAACAAAATGGTGGTGCTTCTAGAAGGAGCTGCAACAATATTGAGGATGCACTGGACGATTACACCAGCCACAAAAAGCCTCAAAATCCCAATTATTTTATTTTCCATCTAAGAATCAAGCACAGACACTCAGCAACACATCACTGTGGACACAAGGCTTGTGATACAATACGGTCATGACTGTATAAATTATTACTGTGATCATAGTCCATCACCATAGTTATAGAATCATAGAATGGTTAGGGTTGGAAGGGACCTCAAAGATCATCTAGTTCCAACCTAGATGATATGTACTTCAATTTAAGCCCCGTTTCTTCACTACGAAAACAGCAATTCATAATAGTTTCTCTAACTTTTTCTGTGCTTTTCTTTCATGTGAGCTCACACAATATCTGTATTTCAGCTTACACCCTCACTGTTTCTGCTACACACACAACTGAAGAAAAAGATGGTATGTACTTCAATTTAAGCCCCGTTTCTTCACTACGATAACAGCAATTTATAATAGTTTCTCTAACTTTTTCTACACTTTTCTTTTACTTGAGCTCACAGAATGTCTATATTTCAGCTTACACCCTCCCTGTTTCTGCTACACACACAACTGAAGAAAATCCAGTGAGCCATGGCAGTGCTTGCCTGCTCCTCCAGTGACTATTTCCCATTGGAAGTCTGAATGAGCATTGAAAAAAAAAAATAAAGTAGATCCCACAGCAGTAATATTACATCCTTTGTGGTGTGTTTCATGAGCTTACCTGTCAGAAGCTTCCAAGTCAAAACAGAATCGCCGGTCTATAGTATCTATATTTCTTTTGGTGCAGTACGTAAGGACAAAGAGTTCCTCATCACCCTGTGGAAAGAAAGTTTTTATGTGCCTGACCCAGTAAGTGAAAGGTTCAGGAAGCCAGCTATAGAAACCAAGGAAGGTAAATTTACATTAAAATAATGGTAAAAGCTGTACTGAAAACTGACACCTGCAAAAGAGTTTGCTCATGGTTGCCGTTCAGGTGTCCACACAGAAATTCCATGGTCATTTATGGAAAATAATGCAAAACCACTGAGTCCATGTTAGCTGGCACTTCACAGCATGACACAGTAATTTAAACTAACAAAGGCCTTTTGCTATGAAGATTTTGCAGGTTACAACATAAGCATAGAGTGGGTGTAAGAGCCTTCTCCCATTTTATGCCAGACAGCAATTTCCATAGTAAATGGAAATTCCATTGCTAGAGAACACAAAGTGTTATTTACTGTCTGAAATCCATCTTATAGACAGAACCAGTCTTTTCTTCAAGACAAACCAACACCAGGATCATATTTTAGCCTTAAGTATTCAGAAATCAAATAAATCCATCCATGAATGCTGCATGGGTTGTACCAGATTTAGTCCGGATTAACTGTACATTTTAATTATTTCTTGTCTGACTCAACATCTCCAGACACAGGAGGTTGTCGCTGAGGGAGTTATTGCATTGTGGGTTTCAAAATGGGAGATGTTTTAATGCAGAAAAACTGGCTTCATAAGTGTTTTAGAATGCTGAATGCTTACACACATGCTATATTAACTAAAATGGCTTATTACAATTAGAGTAAATCAAGATAAAAAATTCACAGAAGTACTGAAATGATTAAGGAAGCCAAATGCCACTAATTTTCAGTATGGGCAGGGTTTCCAGATCTTTTGAAAGGTTCTTCCAAATCCAAAATATTTGTAAACATACACAGCCCTCAAAACCATAAATGCCCTCTCCCCTCCGCTCAAACTAATGGGCTTAATACCCTGACAAAATTCCAACAACATGATTTTCTAACCAAATTTGAAGACAGGGCAGGGTGCTGCATTTACAAGCATTTACTCAAGCATTATTTTCCAGCTTCAGGTATCCTTTTTTTTCCTTGCAACAAAATGCACTTCATCCATATTAATGCATTCATTTAATGCATCATCTCTGAAGGCGCCGAGTGCCCTCAATTCCCAACTATTTCAATAGGAATTAAAGCCATTTAAAGATCAACAGTCTTGGGTCTTGAATATTTCAGATGCTATCAAAGATATCTGAAATTACATTCAGTTGTCAGTACGAATTATATTCCTATTAAAATCCTCTTTTCGAGTTCCTCTTCTGGTACTCACACCTCTGAAAGAAAAATCTGACTGGAGCATGTAAGAAAGAAATTTCTAAGTCTATTATATTTTCCTGATTTATACTTTAACAAGTCAAATGCCCCATAGATAAACCAGATTCTAAATGGTGAAACATTAGGATGCACTGGACGATTACACCAGCCACAAAAAGCCCCAAAATCCCAATTATCTTATTTTCAATCTGAGAATCAAGCACAGACCCTCAGCAATATGTCACTTTGGACAACAGGCTTGTGATACAATATGGTCGTGATTGTATAAATTATTACTGTGATCATAGTCTATGGCTATAGTTATAGAATCATAGAATGGTTAGGGTTGGAAGGGACCTCAAAGATCATCTAGTTCCAACCTAGATGGTATGTACTTCAATTTAAGCCCCGTTTCTTCACTACGATAACAGCAATTTATAATAGTTTCTCTAACTTTTTCTACACTTTTCTTTTACTTGAGCTCACAGAATGTCTATATTTCAGCTTACACCCTCCCTGTTTCTGCTACACACACAACTGAAGAAAATCCAGTGAGCCGTGGCAGTGCTTGCCTGCTCCTCCAGTGACTATTTCCCATTGGAAGTCTGAATGAGCATTGAAAAAAAAAAATAAAGTAGATCCCACAGCAGTAATATTACATCCTTTGCAGTGTGTTTCATGAGCTTACCTGTCAGAAGCTTCCAAGTCAAAACAGAATCGCCGGTCTATAGTATCTATATTTCTTTTGGTGCAGTACGTAAGGACAAAGAGTTCCTCATCACCCTGTGGAAAGAAAGTTTTTATGTGCCTGACCCAGTAAGTGAAAGGTTCAGGAAGCCAGCTATAGAAACCAAGGAAGGTAAATTTACATTAAAATAATGGTAAAAGCTGTACTGAAAACTGACACCTGCAAAAGAGTTTGCTCATGGTTGCCGTTCAGGTGTCCACACAGAAATTCCATGGTCATTTATGGAAAATAATGCAAAACCACTGAGTCCATGTTAGCTGGCACTTCACAGCATGACACAGTAATTTAAACTAACAAAGGCCTTTTGCTATGAAGATTTTGCAGGTTACAACATAAGCATAGAGTGGGTGTAAGAGCCTTCTCCCATTTTATGCCAGACAGCAATTTCCATAGTAAATGGAAATTCCATTGCTAGAGAACACAAAGTGTTATTTACTGTCTGAAATCCATCTTATAGACAGAACCAGTCTTTTCTTCAAGACAAACCAACACCAGGATCATATTTTAGCCTTAAGTATTCAGAAATCAAATAAATCCATCCATGAATGCTGCATGGGTTGTACCAGATTTAGTCCGGATTAACTGTACATTTTAATTATTTCTTGTCTGACTCAACATCTCCAGACACAGGAGGTTGTCGCTGAGGGAGTTATTGCATTGTGGGTTTCAAAATGGGAGATGTTTTAATGCAGAAAAACTGGCTTCATAAGTGTTTTAGAATGCTGAATGCTTACACACATGCTATATTAACTAAAATGGCTTATTACAATTAGAGTAAATCAAGATAAAAAATTCACAGAAGTACTGAAATGATTAAGGAAGCCAAATGCCACTAATTTTCAGTATGGGCAGGGTTTCCAGATCTTTTGAAAGGTTCTTCCAAATCCAAAATATTTGTAAACATACACAGCCCTCAAAACCATAAATGCCCTCTCCCCTCCGCTCAAACTAATGGGCTTAATACCCTGACAAAATTCCAACAACATGATTTTCTAACCAAATTTGAAGACAGGGCAGGGTGCTGCATTTACAAGCATTTACTCAAGCATTATTTTCCAGCTTCAGGTATCCTTTTTTTTCCTTGCAACAAAATGCACTTCATCCATATTAATGCATTCATTTAATGCATCATCTCTGAAGGCGCCGAGTGCCCTCAATTCCCAACTATTTCAATAGGAATTAAAGCCATTTAAAGATCAACAGTCTTGGGTCTTGAATATTTCAGATGCTATCAAAGATATCTGAAATTACATTCAGTTGTCAGTACGAATTATATTCCTATTAAAATCCTCTTTTCGAGTTCCTCTTCTGGTACTCACACCTCTGAAAGAAAAATCTGACTGGAGCATGTAAGAAAGAAATTTCTAAGTCTATTATATTTTCCTGATTTATACTTTAACAAGTCAAATGCCCCATAGATAAACCAGATTCTAAATGGTGAAACATTGTGCGTTATCTGTCCCACGTTCTCTGGTCTTCTAAAAGGAAGCAATTGAAAAGTCTGCAGAGTTCTTATCTATTAATCCATCCGTTACTTTAGGTTAATGTCCTTAAATGGCTGACTGAATGGTACGAAGAAAGAAGAAAAAAAGGGGCAGGGAAGCAGAGAGGGAAAGTGTTTGACACATCTTATCTGACACATCCTCTGATCTCGATACAGGGCGAGTGTAAGGGTAGAATATAAAAAAATACACTTACAGCTTTCCCTCCTGATCTGTGTTCAAATGGGATCATGGTGAACTTCTTTGTCTCTTTCCTGTACGTGCAATAGTGCTTCACCCAACTGGAGCCAAAGGGGGCAGGTCCTACAGAAAATGGGAGCATTAAATAGGATGTACTTTTTCCAGTTTGTGTGTTTTCTTCTCCTGCTTTTCAAAATGATACTTAAGAGTCCTACTTAATTCCTAATAACGAAGAATTCAAGCCAAAGGTATGAATTAAGAACAAAGTAATATAAGTGTTTACCAGTGCTCACTATTTTAAAAACTGATATAGGTAGTAATTCACATTTACACCTTATGACAAATTGAAAGAATTATTAACATATCTTTCTCTCGCTACTACAAACAAAAGAATTTTTCCCTATAAAATAACTATTCCTTGGAAACTTTGTTTGGGCAGAACGTGGAGACCTAGTTTTACACTTGGTGTAAAATTTGGAGCTAAATCACTGCAGATTAACACATCTGCATTGCAAGCTCTACTTCAGCTACTGATTAAGGTCCAATCACATTTTCTGACATCACTCACTCCTAATTATTCATCAGTGCACACCCTACCCAGCATACACTTACTCAAGAGCCCAGCCTACTGCATCCAGCATTACTGACATTTGCACCATAATGTTAACTGCTAAAACTTGGATTCTGACCCTCCGTATTTCCTCACACCTATTAATTGTCTTTGTTTGCAAAGGAATCTTCTCTTTTGAAGGACTCTCCTCCAGAGCATCAGGAAAGCCCTTCCCAAGTGGCTCAAGCCGACAAAGGATTTCACTGCTCCTAACTTGGAAGGTCTCACTGCTCCTCCCCAACTCAGCTTCAGGAGTATCTAACTCTTCTGAATACTTCCAGCTGACTCTAAAGCTCGTGATGACCAAGACCAGTGAACTGATCTCACAGAATAACAATTTTTTCTTAGTTTTTTTTAATTTTTTTACTTCTAATTCTCTTAAAACTTGTTTCTGAACAGTGTAATGGTTTTTGACTTTTTTTTTACTAGAGCGAGAAAGACTTACAATTTTTCCAAGTATTGACAAGATATGATTTGTGTGATGTGCATCTTTGCAGCAAGATTTTCAACACCGTTTATCTAGTATATCACCTGCTTTATTTAACCCTGTGATCCTAATTAAGTAATGAAACCGTATCACTGAACCAAGGAAATGCCAGTGAATATCATCACACTAAACTAGCCCAATTTTCAGAGGCCAATTTGACCACTCATGTCCTTGTCTGACAAATGTTTGACACTTTTAAGGGGAGGTCATTAGTAAGGGATTAAAAATAACATGAAATACACCTTTTGGTCAAATAAAACTTCCCCAAATTCAATCACCTTTGCTAAGAACTGTCAAGCTTTCAGTACCACATGCTTTTTATGAGCTGCAGTAACTCTGCCATTAGAGACTTTGAACATTTACTCAGATGACTCTGTTTAATAAACTGTAAATTCTTTGCATCTTCATGTCACCTGCAGAAATTGAACTGTCCTGTATGCACAATATGGGCACTAAAGGAACACAAATGTACCACTTACTTTTTTCCTGTACGTAGAGATAGCCTTCCATTGTGAAGTGATTTGCTCTTTTATGTTCCTGAGGGTTTCTTCTGATCTTGTTCATGAGCTCCTCTACCTCTGACCTCGTGCCTTCAAAACGATTTCGCGTCTGAAACAAGATGGCAAAACCCCATTAGAGGAAAGAGTGGATGAAAGACCTAACTCTTCCTGTTGGATAGAAGTTATACTAATTATTTATAAAAGGAGAGAATGATTCAGGCCATTTTCAGATGGTCAATACACAGCTTCCATATACATTTACTCTTCTGATAGAGAGTATCAGAAGTGTTCTGGTAGTCTTCAAAATTGAAGTGTGGTTTAGATATTAGCTCTTGTACTGTGGGGTGTGTAGATTTCTAAAACAATGCACTGATCTGTTTAGAAAGTAGTGAAATACTGAGTACAAAATTACTTTGGACTTAAATATTCAAGTTTCCTCAGAAAAATATTACTACAGGTGTTGGTTTAATTCATGAGATTCTTACTAGTTGTCAGGAAGGAGAGGATTTTCTGTGGTTATTGAGAAAAAAGTGACAGAAAGGTCACCAACAACTTATAGGTGTTGAGACTATACACAGGCCAAATGTTTTGATCACACACAAGCAGCAACATGAAAAAAAAAACCACAAACCCACAAAAACCCACAAACCACAACCCACAACCAAAGTCCAGTTGATCATTATTCCTGAATGTCACTCATTCCAAAGGTCGCCATCAGCCACAAGAGAAAGATTTATTAGAATATCAGTAAAAACAATCAGAAAGTAACCACACCATCCACACCACAAATTATACAGTGTGTCTACACAAAATAACAGAACAGCTCACACAGGACACAAGAAACTCCTCAGTTTGGTCTGGAAAACACTGGCAATTGGCCAACGAAAAAATAACAAAACCAAAAATAAATCTTGGTGGTACCTAGTTTTCTCCACATATGAGCAAATAAAAAAAAAAAAACCAATCTTGGTGGTACCTAGTTTTCTCCACATACCTACTTGCCTAAATTGCCCAAACTGAAAACATACATCTAAATTCCAAGCTGGTGTTTTTTCCAGTTATATGTGTGTTTTGAGGAAAGCACATGCTTCCAGATGCACACTTATGTGTCTTATTGCTTTTTGAGAGCACCTCTTTTTTTTTTTAAAATGGATGAACTTCTGAAAATGCTGCCTCACCTATTTTTTCTTCCCCAGGACAAGCATACAGTTGCAAACACTAACAAATATATCATGAAAATAAACAGCTATCCATTCTTGCACCCAGACGGTTACCCCTGTGCTCCTGACTGGCCATCTGTATGTGCAAATTCCAGATTTGGGCTTGGAAGGAGTTTATTCATGGGCACAGACAAGGTCATATTATTCACAGACCAGTTTATTCATGGTCAGAGCAGCCACCCATACCTGTATGTCTTACAGAAGAAAGCTGAAGATATTCTTTAGGTGATGACTAAGAACAAGACAGGCCAGATAAATGCTCTGAACCCTCCCCATATCCACCATCTCAATTTCAGGTCACATCTGTTTGCAAATCTTGGAGTTAGACCCTGCATATAAACTCTTTCCAAGGCTCCAAACAGTTTTGTAAGCTCCTTTTCACTTCCTAGAGGAGATGCATCCAAAAAAAAATAATAAAATACACTCTGTACTCAGGACAAAGGCAAAAAAAAAATTGATAGTAACAGATTGCTCATACCTAAACATTCCTGTTTGAGCACTGATTGCTCCAAAGCTAGATGTTTTAAGTGATCCTGACAGGATCTTTGTCTTAGCTGTGCAGCAATTACAAATCCAAGGTGTGTGAAATGCACTCTGGGAGCACCCTGGGTTTCTTGAGAAACCTCAAGAACCTCAATTTCTGTCTCCCTTCGCCCTGTGACAAAGCTGAGCTTAACCAGGTGTCAACCACAGCTGCTGCCCCAGCTTCCCAAGGAAGGCCAGGTTTGCTTCCAAGGATCCTTGTATGGGGCTGGGCACAGAACTGAGACAACAAGAGAAAAGTCCTGGGAGCATAGATGAATCCAGTTGGAGTTGCAGGATTTTTTACAGAAGAACAAGACCGTTGGAAGAATGAGCTTACTGAAGCTTGGGCTACAAGGCTGGGAGGTTTTTTTTCCCCTTTCTTTCATTTTAGGGGGAGGGAGTTAGGGGAAAGCAGGGTCTGGGGCAGGCTGTGGAGAGGAAATCCACAGCATAATCCTCAAAGTAAAGACAAGCTGAGGGAAAGGGAAGGCAATTCCTACAGCTACACTGGCAGCTCTCAAAGCACTCCCCATACCCAGCCAGGCTCTCTGCACTCAATCATGTACCCTTCAGTTTCTAACATGTCAGTCCAGTGTTCTGCCAGCAGCTCAGCTGTACCACAGCCAAGCCCCAGTTCATTTTTCCTTTGGGATGTTTTGTTCATCTTCAGCACAGTGGAGAACGTGTCATGTCCTCTCATGATCTTTTCAGATGCTTCCTTCTACTCCCTCCTTACCTCAGCTGGCTATTAAGCCTTGCCTCCTTTCTCTCTACAGCTTTTTGAAAATCCAGGTCGTTCATTCTATCTATTCATAGAACTTGTAATGCTCAATCTCTTTTAGATTTCCTGGGGCAGGCTATGATATCATTCACAGAATCTCAGAATCTTCTAGGTTGGAAGGGACCTTAAAGATCATCTTGTCCAACCATCAACCTAACTGACAAAAATAGACACCCACACAACAAACAAGGAGCATCATCACTAAACCAGACCTCCCAGCACTACATCAACCCATCTTTTGAACACCTCCAGGGATGGGGCCTCAACCACCTCCCTGGGCAGCCCATTCCAATGGCTGATAACTCTTTCAGTGAAAAAATTTTTCCTAATATCCAGCCTGAACCTCCCCTGGGGCAACTTGAGGCCATTTCCTCTTGTCCTGTCGCCTGTGACTTGAGAAAAGAGACCGATCCCCATCTCTCTACACAAGAAGCCAAGCCTATTCCTTGGTAGACTAGATGTCTTGCAGATACATAGACTTTAGGGGGGAAAAAGGGGCTGCTCTCTATTGTTAGACCATAGTCATACAT